CTCTCTCCTTCCCTCTCTCTCTCTCTCTTTCTCTCTCTCTCTATCTCTCTCTGTCTTTCTTTCACTGTCCCTCCCGTACCCTTTCTGTCCATCAACTCTTTATACACCCTCTCTCTTTTCCTCCTGATTTGTCTTCTCCACACCCACTCACCACTCCTGTCACAATCCCAGCACCCCATGGCAGCTCACGCACCCCTCGGCATGGTCTCCATCAGTAATTCTATTCTTGTCTCTCCCCCACAAGTCATCACTGCTGACACAACTTCCATTTTCTCCCCGTAAACGTGACAAGCTGAGGCAACAGTGGTTATTTTTTTCGCCCCCAAGAGCTCAAACCTCTTCTCTTCTATGAGGCATGATATTTTGACAAGGTACCGTATTGTGTAACATTGAATAATAATATACTAAGGTTATCATGTGGTAAGGCATGATTATTAAAGTATGGTTTGGAATGGCAATGTGAGGCATAACGTGGTACGGTAAGACTTGGTAGAGTCTGGTTCGGTATAGTAAACTGATGCAGTAAGTCCTCGTAAAGATTAACTTCATTTAGCCTCTTCTTCATAGAACAGAGTTTTCGATCTGTTTCTGTTTCTTTTTTTGGTTGAAAATTGATGCGCTATTGAACAATGTACACGGGGGTACAAAAATAGGCATACAGTACAGAAAGTAAAACGCTATTATTGTATAATACTTAATGAATTAAAGTTATTGTATAAGAAGAGTGAGTGAATAACGACGACAAACAGTTTAAGTATGTTAAGGATGAAAGCTGTGTTTATTATTACATGTAGTATGCAATATTCATTTGTTTGGACTATAAATAAAATGAGTAAAATGTACGTGTTTTCTTTTTCATAGTTGTATACCTAATTGTGCTTGCCCTACCTTGATAATGATGCCATTTCGAGTTGGCTAATGTTTACTCTTGCGTCCCAAAAGAATAAAATACTGGCTTCGTGCTTAGAAGAGCAATTTTCTGTACTTTTGTAGATAGACATTATTACGTGAGGCCTTCATTACGGAGGGATACGATTCAAAGTGAGTTAACAAGTGAAGGCAGATTTCTTTGAAACTTTCTGGACATGACAAGGTTCTGATTTCTCTTGCCTGCTGGCGATTCTTTCACGTCTATCAGAAGACGGAAATTTCTTCGAAAAGCTTATTCATGTTTTCTTTTTTCAAAATTTCCCTCATTCACACACACACACACACACACACA